ATTTACGCAAAAAAGAGAAGAAAACAAGAGGAACAGACTGTCGCGATATTCTATCGATGCCAGCCAGTAGTCAGCCATCGCATTGCATTAGCGGTCCGAGTGAGCAAAAAAGGTACGAAGCACCATGAACACAGCTTTTACTATGCAAACACACAGTTTATGAGTTTACTTTGTCGTAAACCTTGTGCACTGTCAATAAAAAAATCAAAAATATATGAGAACATGCAGAAGATAAGATTTGAACTCCTGTTGGTGACAATAGAAAGCCCTTGTTGATGACATTGCCGAACTGAAATGAAGTTAGAAAAGCAAGCAGGGGTTGTGCGCGCCTGGGTTGGAAATTCTAGTTCATTCTCTAGGAGGTCGCATATTGCTGGGATGGTTTTGGGTACTTTTAAATAACATCAATTCCCTCAAGCACGTTGTTAACCTAATAAAATTACCATCATCGTGAAAATTACGGCGGAAGCTGACACGGGGAATTGATAACAGAGGCAACATTAATGGGACAAAACTGTGATGAATGCCATAGACAATGATTACCTATTGTGGCAAATGTATGAGCCTATTAGCCATCCTCTAGAGAGTCAAGGAATTTCTTTCAAATCATGAGCTCATTGTAGTATATGCAAGTTGCCATGGAGCAATCTAACAAATGTAAACAGCCAAGACTGGAAAGGGCATTACAATACTATCTTGTGATTCAGCAAAAATTATGGGAAGCATCCCAAAGGGTATTTCGGAGTGACATTATGAGCGCTTTTGAGAATATGTTGTTTATGGAAATAAACAAAGAAGATAGAAGTTTTAAAACTCAAATCAATCGTAAATTCATATGTTGAGCATTTTAAGAAACCTTCACTACTTTTAAGCCACGCCTCTTCATCCGAGACTTTTATCGCCTTTCCTCGCCTACTGCTCCGAAAGAAATATAGCGGATCGCTTCTGTTACGAATCACTCACGGACATAAAGTGAATATCAAAACAGTCCAACTTTGACGTTAAATTTGATTTAGGAATTTTCCTCTCGGAGTTCTCACGTATGCCATATCGTACATCCCATGCGGACCAATCGTTTTCGCCTACGGTACTGGGCGAGAGGTTAAGATTTGAATGTCTTCATCAAAATTAAATCCTAAAACAAAGCTAGGTACTCAATTTTCCTACGAAATGCTCATGAATAACATGCAAAACAATTAAGATTTTAAAGAACAAACAAACAGCGTCAATTTGATAAAAAATAAAACTAAGGTTTGTATTACACGACCACGACTTGAAAGCATGCTGTGTCAGGCGCACACCATCGTGCACTTGGAGCGGCGATTGCCGCCGCCACACAAAATTTCTGGAGGGCTATAACTAGGCGGGAAGGAGGCGGTTTGCGGAGCTTGAAGGACTAATTTGTTGGGTTTTGAATATAGACTGAAATTTTGTAAAATTTGAAAAATTATGTGAAGGGAGAAAATTTTAGACTTTTCCTTCTTTTTAGGTGGTTCAAAACACCCACTCAGGAAAACGTTTGCCATGCTCTCACTTCGCGAAATTTTTTCATGATTTCCTGTACATAGTTACAATTCCTTACTCCGGCACCAATGCGGTCATATCATTTCCTCCTCGCTCAAACAAGCTTCGGGGGATATTTTTGAATTCCCGCGCCTGCGCGAAGGGCAGAAAATTGCTGGTTTTGCACAGAATGGAATCGGTAGAGCACTGAGGAGCATCTGAGACATCTCCAGAAGATGGGTGTGGAATAGAAGAGGAGCAGGATGGCTCCGGGGGGGGGGGGAGAGGTGGAATGTGTATGTGCAATATCGCTCGCATTTTTTGAAAAAACGACGCTAAGTGGCCCCCAGCGTGGCCATATCTCGCTTCAGAGTGGACGAATTCTTAATCCAAGGGTAACATTCGACGCGTTCGGCGCGTCGCATCTTCTGATATGTATATAGACTTGCCGGCTTGGACATAGTAGGAAGTCAGATTCCACGAATCGCTTATTTTTGCTTACGGTAGGTTGCCCAATGTGTGCAATGAACAAGCACACTGACATTCTACCGCAAGCATAAATCTGAAACGATTTGTGAAATCTGGCTTCCTGCTGTGTCCAAGCGGGCACTTCTTTAAATCAGAAGATGCGCCTTGCCGAGCTGAGTCTAATATCTGGTGTCCTTGAATAAAGAATTCGTCCACTCTGAAGCGAGGTACCTGAGACATGACCACCTTGCGGTCATGTCTCAGGTATCGAGCAATTTTGCGTCGTTTTTTCGAAAAATACGAGCGGTATTGTATTAACAATAGCGATGGATAAGTTTCGTTTGTAAGTGGCAAAGCTGCTAGAATTTGTTAGTTTCATGGGCTTGAAGTTGCTCCTGCTTACTACTCGAAGTTTTATTACTCCGTTTGTTTTATATCAATCGCTTTGGATTACCTTGCGGGGCCACAAAGTACTTTTGAAAATTCTTTTACTTTTGAGACTCCGACGCAGCGGAGCATTTTTTATACACCAAAATGAGGTGATACATGCTTTTTTTCGGGCCCCTCCCCTACGTAAAAACGATTTCCCATTTCTCCTTTGCTTTTACCCCAAAACGATACCCATGCTGCTTCTTAAACCGCCTGTGCAGAGCCCTGTTCTAGACTTCTATGTTTTTGTCGTTTCGGGGGCTTCACGTGTACCTGATTTCAATTAAGAAGTCGAAAATCCGCGAAATCGTCCACGTTTCGGAGAACCCGCAGGCCTGTTCTGTTTCCTGAAACGGTGATTGGGTGGGCGCGCACGGTTGGGCGGGCACTACCGGAGGGCGGTGCCGGCTACTCAGACACTCGGTGCGTGCAGCGCGCGCGCCTTTATGCTCAAGCCGGCAAAGCGCGTGCCATATTTTGGGGGCGTGTCCGGCACGGCGCCAAACGCGCGCCATACTAGACGCACGCGCGCCATACTTGACGCGAATGCAGAATTATCTGCGACACGCGTGCCTTTTTATATGAGAATACGCGGCGCGCGTGCTTTTCCGTTGTTATGCAGCAGCGCGAGCGCGATTTAGCTTTTAGCGCAGCGGTGCGCGTGCCCAAAAGGACGCCGAGTTGCTTTTTTGAAAATAACCTCGTCCCCTGCCCCTGTTTTTTGAAGTTTTACTGTTATTTTTTACGAGTATTTGTCTTTATTTGTATCTAAGACTTTCATTTTGATTTTCTTTCTTGATTTGATCTTTTTTGTGAACTTACTTTAGTTGATTGTCGTTATTATTAGCCTTTCTTCCTTACTGACGAGTTCCGGGAAAGGCTTATTCTTTTTTGCATTTGTCCGTCTAAGGCCCCGGGCAGACTTCACGCGATTTGATCGTCGCGACTGAGTCGCGGCGAGACAACTGTTACAACATCATTCCATGCCGATCAACTTGCATTCGGTTGTGATACTTTTTCAGACCGAAATTTTTGAATGTGAAATGAAAATGAATGGAAATCTTGGCGATTAGATCGCGACGATTAAGTCGCGTGAAGTCTGACCAGGGCCTAAGGGTAGGAACGAAACGGACGAAGTCGTTCTTATCATACAAATGCCTTCACATCAGCATGCAAATTTGCAATGCTGTCATTTATCACATCAAATGCGTATGTGCCTCTAGCAACGTAGCCATCCGCGTGCAAGAAATCGCAGCCGCTCGCGCGCTTAATATCACAGCCATCCGCGGACGATCATGCAGCGGCGCGGGAGTCAATAGCGCGCCATCCGCAGACTGGGTGTCGCGCCACCCTGCAATTGCGCGCGCGCTGCACGCACCGAGTGTCTGAGTAGGGGGCCTCGTGCCTTTCCGACATTCTGGCTGCGACTTATGCATCGACTTCGTAGGGGGTCCTACTACTGTATGCTGCCAAAAGCTCAAGACCCTTAACTTAGGGTGGACGGTGCCTTCAAATGTAATGTTTTTTTTATTGGAAGAGAGGGGAGCGTTGTGGGAAAAATTACGTGAAAAATAACGTGTTCGCATAGAAATTAGTAGTTGCATGCTTGCATGCAACTTTTGAAAGCCGTTTGCAAGCATGCACATACTTCTGCCAAAAAACATAGGATACTGATCTGTCTGGCGCAGATCCAACATATTTCATAAGCCATCATATTCTAATAGACTTGAGAGGTAGAGTAGTACCTCTGCGGTGGGTACAAAACTTGCGCGTATACTTGCACAGAACGCACACTCTAAGTTTTGAGTCTCATGACCATTTTTTTGTTGTCGGACAAATCTACTGGACCGACTATAAGGGTATGCAGATCTAAGACTACGAAGGTAAAGGCGAGTTGGCTAAAGGAAGAAACATGTGAGTCATTCAGATGGAGAATGGCACTTGGGTAAGATAATGGTATGAAAAAAATCAGAAGTTAATTGATAAGGTGAGAACCAATTAGATCTCAAACAGTTAACTAACAGATGATGTGAAAGAAATAGTAAAGAGTGAGAACTACAAAAGCAAGACAAGTCGAAAACCCTAAAACTTTGCGCAGAAAAAGCGAAACGACGGCGGAGATTAGCCTCGCGGTAACCAAGAGCAATAAATAGTTCAATAGCACTGCAAAAGCGCATGCCGAGCAGATTAACGCGAAGCTCGGAGTTGGCCGGTTGCCAGCAGCAGCAGCAGGTGCAGATTAAACACTGCGAAATCGATCGGCAAGCGCTCGGGGAGGGACGACGGCAGGGAAAAGGAGAACTGGTTTGGCTGTGACGTCGCACGTGCCAAGAAATTGTTCATTAGATTTATCAGTGCAGTCCGTAGTCCGCCAACGGAGTGCCGGGATCTGCTTGGCGCCGTTCCATCGACGGCGTCGGAGATGAGGTGGAGCTCTGAGTCAGCAACTCGTCGACTCCGGTGAATCAGCCAAATGGAAGTTTTTCTATCGCTCCTGGGACAAATTGAATCTAGAAACACTTTCCCAAGGGGGATTTAGGGCGCGGCATATTTAACAATATTTAACGAATTTATAAGAAAGGTTACTGACCCAAACCAACCTTGGGGCAAATATCGCTGTGCTCGGAGAGCAACGCTGTTGTGTTCCTCGGGAATAGTTTATGGCTGGAAGAGGCGCAGAGAACGAAAGCAGCGAGAGTGCACGAGGGAGGAGGAGTAACGCGCAGTACACAACTCCGGGAGGTCAGTTGTAGTGACTAACCGACCATTGTTGTACAATCGTTCTGTTGTTTCGTTCTTGTGTTGAAGAAACATGAGCTGTTTGCTCAAAAAGGGAAGAATCTGAACCCCTGACGAATGTTTAGCTTTTCCACATCCAAATAACAGTATTATATCAGTATAGTTATTTCTTTGTGGTTATTTTTTTTCGCGACTAATGAGTGGTAGTGCCAAGATGAGGGAGAGGGGCGGAGCTAGAGAAGAGTCATATAAACAAAAGCTTTTCCACATCGGAACCTCCATTGTAACTGGATCACCTACGATGGCTCAAATCCTGCACAAATCTTTGAACATTGTTCAGAGAATACATGTCTAGTTTTTCCAAGCATAACATTCACTTAAATTTGAGCTGACGTGGCGTGATTATAACATCACAATACGAACTGATACCAAGTGGTAAATCATCAAGGAATGACCAGTAACTGATGACAAACTTTATTCGTCAATTTTTACAGTAAAATACGATTACGTAACGCAGATAGGTTGATGGACCTTCTTAATGGCATCGGGTTGCAAAGGAGCCACATTTTCAAGCTGAGATATTTCATTGCTGAGATGTATCACTTCTTCAAGTAAGCGTTTACCAAGCTGGAGTTGCTGCGCACGTTTAACTAGTTATGTGCGTAGAGATTAACGTCGATAGAGGCGGAGACTGGAATTGATGGGGGCGCAGTATGTTTCCTTCAGGAATCGCCGTCAAGTTTCATAGCTTGAATCTTGTGCAGTGGGCATATGTACACAAGAGTTTGTAAAGCATTCATGAAAGTGAAAATCTCAGTTTAGCGGATTTCAACGGTTTCGAACCTGGGCTTGTAAAGTTGGTTGAGTCATCAATTATGCTCAAACTGTTTGCGACTTGCTTTTCTCCCTACATCGGTAAGCCAGCTACTTTCTATACGACACAAAAAACTTTATTCAAGAAAAAAGGAATGCCTGAGAAATTCCTTTTCAACCTAATATAAGTGGTCGTAAAAGACTTATACCAAATTTTCTCTCTTCTTCGCAGTTTCATCATTACTACCCTATTGTTCGACAAGATATCTTCTGCACATTCCCTGTGCTCATTGCTTGCCTCTGCTACTAATTTGCGAATCAAGTTCTTTCTAGCAAAGCGCACGCAAACATCTATCAAAGTGCGAAAATGGTTGCCACAGCCTTCAGGCCTTCAAAGTAACACATGAGCTTTCAATGTTCTCGTGATTATCGGTAAAAGGAATTAAAAGCAGCAAAAACTGTCATCATACGGAAGCTGGATTCTAGAGAAAGATAACACATGTTACAACACATTAGAGTTCACATTTTGTCCCTGGAGAAAAAGTTTTGGAGACGGTAATCTATGGAAAGAAAGAAAGGAATGTTTGCCTTTCATGTTGTGCGAGATAACATTCAAAGAAATAGATTTTTGTGGCAATCATATATGAAACCACTGGGAATTTGAGATTTTTGTAAACCTACTTGAATTTTAAAATGTGCACGTGACTTATTCAGGCACTTCAGACAAATCTCAGAAAATATCAAATTTTTTCGGATAGTGAAGCTAGATCTGTAAAAAAATTTTTAAGGGTGTGGCTCCCACTACACCCCTTCTTGAAAACTTCAGAATTCGCCATTGGAATTTACGTATATACGTAATTTAATTATATTGAGTTATTCAGAGAAGAGTTTCCAATGTTTCACTTTTTAGGTGATCTCATTTCCAGTACCAGACGAACTGTGGAGGAACTTTCGAGCGGCTCAAGTTCAATTTTTCAAAGAAAAACGGTCATCCCTTGAACATAAATCAGCCAAACCGAAAATCTTGACCTAGTGAAAGTAAGTACGGACTGCGCCGTTTGGCAAGAAAAAAGTACTCTAATGAAGTCAGCAGTGACATAGCTCTGATAAATGTAACAATGGCTTACTTCGGACGATTTACCAAATTAATCCAAGTTTGAGAAAGCAGTGTGGAGAAACACGTTCACCGATGACGAACCGCCTTTATTGACAAGTATAAGAAACAACGCGGCAGAGGGTAGCCACTTGAGATGTTTTGTTTGTGGAAAGGATCTGGTTTGCAACTAGTGAATGCTGGGTTACAATTGGTAATACTCAAAAATTTCTGCAAGGTATAGTGAGAGTTCTGATAAAGAAAAAAATTTCTCCGGAAGAATTCAAGATACGGAAACTGTCTCATTTATAGTGAATCATTCAACAAAGATTGATAAGCATTGACATGTTTCTTGTTTCACCGCTTGATTCAGCGACCGCAACGGAAAAAAAGTTTCGCTTTTTCGGACAAACCACTTTTACGAGTTGAATAATTTTATAGAATCTTACCCTTGAATATATTAAACTTTGAAGATATGTAAAAACCTCTAGCAATCTACTAGAAGGTCGCGAAAATCGCGGACGCATCCTTCAGTCGTTCTCTTAATTCTGAGTTGCGGTTAAAACGAGAAAATGCAGAAATACACGCGAACGTGGCGCAAGCTAAGCAGACAGCGCCTCTGGAGACACTCTCATTGAGACAGTTTTGGACGCAGTCTCAGAATTGAACCTATATAACCTATATATTTATTACCGCAAGTGTTGGGAGTAGTGTGGGCTTCGTAGTTATAATTGCAGTTAAAAGGCCTCATTTGATTTTACAAAGAGATGTTCGAATAGTCTAGCAAGAAAGGGATCGCTCCGAAAAAAGAGTGACTGAAGAGATCCGCCCTCTCAAGAGGGCGGATAAATCTGACTGCAGCCCATTTGGCAGGTTCAATTCCATACGTACAAAATTGACTTGTTATCAGCGCCGTGATTCGATAAATATAAGGCGCGTCCACTTGAACGCTGGTACGGCGGTAGCACTGCCCTGGCACAAGAGCAGCTCTAAGCCCCACCCTCGATGAAAAATGGGCAGATATGAGGTTGAGGCTGCTACCAACTGACACAAGCTACACTGAACTAGCCTAAAGAGCGTTCCTCCTCACAAAAGACGGAGCCATCAATTCTTCAACATTGGAGCTTCAAAGCCGATTAGATTTATACATCCAAAACCATGACAGGTAAAAAAGGAGTAAAATATCTCGTGTTGGACTTACCATTGCGCGAACGGCCAAAACCCCTCACCCTATATAAGACAGATGTTGCCCATGTGTGTGCATATGTAACTCTATAGTTTTGAAGGGGCTCGGAAAATTCGGCACTGGGGGCTTTCCACAACCTACATGGTTTTCTGGAAGATCTGAGTTAGGTACTGCGCTGGAAAAGCCAAAAAAGTGCTTTTTGGCGTTTTCCGGCTTTGGAGATTGCTGGAGAGGCGGGACGAGAGATCCCCGTCAACTGTATCGCGATTGGTTGCCTGACTGTTGAGCCAATCGCCGCCAAAATAGGTGGAGTTAGAGTCTCCTGCAGCCAGTTGCTGTTTACGGTGGAAATCCCTCGCCCCGCCTCTTCAACAATCTCCAAGGCTGGGAAACGCAAAAAAGCACTTTTTTAGCTTATCAAGCACAGTGCCTAATTCAGCTGGTACAAAAAGCCGTGTAGTTGTGGAAAGCCCCAGTCGTGATTTTCCCGAGCCACTGCCTTTAAATAACTTCACCATTCTTCTCTCAAAACCGCTCCGTAATGATTTGCCTTTTCGGTCATTCATTGCTATCCATCAACTAGTTCAATACCCTTTTACATGATTTTTTGAATTTGCGACTAAAAATACTTCCTTCGCACACCTTGGTTGGATGCGCAGTTTACTAACCACGAACACTTGGTCAGTGTGGTGAATTAGGGAACAATATTCAAGTAGATCAGAATCGTATTTCATTTCTATTTCATTTTGTTTCTTGTTTTAGGTTGACAGAAACGTAATGGGCTTTTCAAGTTTTGAAGTCAAACCTGATTTTTCTCGGAAACTAGCTGAAGTATGTGAATTCTATTTATACTTCCGAAGGTCTATGGCTGCTAACTGCATAACTTTTGGTTCAACTGGATTGGCGGCTGGAAAGCATGGCTTTGTGACCTAATTAGGGCTGCTCGCGCCCGCGACGCAGTCGGCGTCTTTCTCGCGCTCGTGCTCTCTTATCATTTCTAGCCTTATCTAGATCAGAAGCTCCGCCTTCCAGCTGCCAATCCAGTTAAATCCAAGGGTAAGTGGGAGAGACCCAGAATTCGTGGGGACGGAAATTGTCATTTCAGTTATCCTTTTTAAAAATCTCTAGCCATTTTGATACAAGTGTCCCTGTTGATACAATACCGCTCGTAATTTGTGAAAAAAATTGGCGGCGCTTAAAGGCACCGTCCACCCTAAGTTAAGGGTGTTGAGCTTTTGGCAGTATATAATATAGGGGCTCCTATCAATCCAATGCCCAAATCGCGGCGATTGCGAGAAAACTGCTTCGAAATAGCGAAGATGCACGAGGACCCCCATCCATGCCCGCCCACTTGTGCGCGCCTATCCAATCACCGTTCCGGAAATCCGGCCTGCGGGTTCTCCAGAACAGGGATTGTCGGAGTTTTCGCGCATTCTCGACTTCATATTCGGATTCAGGGACATGAGAAGGCCCTGAAACCACAAAAACGCGGAAGTCGAAAATCTGGGTGGACGGTGCCTTTAACTCAGGCGGCGGCCACCGAAGTTAGGCGCCCGCCGCCTAACTTTGTCGCCTAACTTCGGTGCTCGCCGCCTAATTTCGGTGGCCGCCGCCTAAGTTAAAGGCAGCGTCCAGGCAGATCTGGACCTATGGGGCTTTCACGTGGAAAGTACTTTTGGGGCCCTAACTAAGGCATTGCCCAAGCGGCAGCTCAGGTAGTGCTCTAATGGCTGAGATATTCCCCTCGAAACTGGCCCCCGCGAACGTATTC